ACATATACATATATATATGATAAGAATTTTCGAGAATTAAATCAGGCAATGCAACAGCGCTAGTCTGGAGGAAGGGCTGTCTTGTTCCTCAGCGTCAATTCCGCTCAAGTAGATATTCAGTTACCAGGCATGGAGGGACCTGCTTTGGTGTAGTGGAGGTCCTGCCTCCCCCGTGGGCCCTCTGTATGTTCCTTGAAGCCCCATCTTGTTGGTTATGGGGAGAAAAATGGTGACACCTCAGTCTCTCCTCCATGGACCAGGTGTCCCAAACCACTCTGTTCAGGCCATCCTCACTGTGCTGTGGGCATGAATGAGGTGGTTTGTCCTGTTCTGCTAACTCCCATGCCTCCCTGGCGCTTGGCTGGGATTTAATCCCTAATGTCCTAAAATGTCCCACTCCATGCGTCCCGGTTCCAGTCAAGAGCCACTCTGTACCGCCTCACAGTGCTGCAAACACAGTTTGTCCCACTCAGCCGACTCCCATGCCTCCGTGGTGCTTGGCTGGGACTTAAACCCTGATATCTTAAAACTTCCCACTCCATACGCCCTGGTTTCGGAGAAGTACTGCTCCGCTTCTCCCAATATATGGTCTCTGGTTGGCGGGTGCAGGCAGTCTTTGTCCTTTGAATGGTCATATACTTTCTTCCCACAGCATTCTAGGGAGGGGATTGCTTTCTCCCACTACGGACTGTGCTTCTGATCCAGTCTGAACTAGTTACTGAGCCCGGGACTGGCTCCCCTCCTCCCCCGGGGTGCATGAACAGGGCAGCCATCCCCAGTCAGGAGAAAGCCCTGTAGTTAGAGATTGGATCTTTCTCTGTCCTGGTCCGTGGTTTTTCTCTTGTCCTAATACAGTCCTACACTTCCCCAGCCTCTCTTTCTCTTCCCTTTGTCTTTCTGCAGAAGGGGATCCTGCCACTCTCTTCCTCCACTGCCCATTTTATCTCTCCCAGTTTGCAATCATGCACCTGTGGCCTGCCAGGTTGTCCCAGTGAGTCCCAGGAAGCAACTCTGTCTCTTTGCTGCCCAGATTCTTGGAGTCCAAAGTCCTTTGGCCTCAACACTGCTGTGTTTGGGAGATGAGAGGACTTCGGATCCCCCTACTTCTCTGCCATGTTGGATCCCTCTCCCCTCTAGTGTATTTTTAATTCCAGTTATTGAGTTCTTCATCTCTGAGTGGTGCTTTTTAAATATTTTCTGTATCTTTGTTGAAGATCTTACTGAGATCCTCCACTATTTTCTCAAGTCTAATATGTATCTTTGTGATCATTACTTTGAATTCTCTATCAGGCATATTGATTATCTCCATTTCATTTAGCTCTCTTGCTGTGATTTTGTCCTGTTCTTTGAGACATACTCTTCTGACTTCTCATTTGTGGAGTCATAAACTCCACAAACTCTCTGTGCTTGTTTCTAGGTGTCAGGAAAAAGGTATCAGATCCTTTTTTATAGTTGACCACTGACAACTTTAAACCTCACCTCTGCTCCACATCTGGTAAGCTTATTAGAAAACCTAAATGCCCCCTTCTTTGACACCAAATGGAGAACCAAACGACATGAGTCTGTGTGCAGAAACCCTCACTATGTCCCCACCCCTTATACACCATAAAAATCCCAAATCCCCTTTCTTTATTTTCTCAATACATTTTTAAATGATCTTGCGAGTTCCACTGTGCTCTCCCTAGTAGACACATTATGTGCACATTACATGCCTCTTTCTGTGTGTTTGGCACCATCAGTCTTGATATCTGCATCAAATTCTAGATGGAAATTTATCCTATTTCTTCAGGTGGCTACAAAAAAGGGACATACTGGAAAGAATGTGATGTATTCATATACTGAGTATTAAGTTGAGGATGAGAAGGAAATGTTTATTGCCAGATCTAACTGGTATTTCAACTTTGCTCACTGTACACTCAGATACATGAAAATATGTAGGGAATATATATATATATATATATATATATATATATATAT